CCCCAAAACCCCAAAACCCCAAAACCCCAGAGGAGTGGGGGTAAGTTGATTTTTTATAAATGTGGATGGGTGCTGAGATCTCTGGGGGGTTATGTTGTATTAGTATTTTGTAGTGTTGTAAATCTTCTGTTCTATGGGTGATAAGTATGGTATATTTATTTTTTATAGTAGTCTTGGTCTTATTGGTAGATTGTAAGGAAGGGCTTATTGATCATTTTCGAGAACCTTATTTACTTGATCTGGTCAGCTTTATTGGTGGAATATGAGAAGTTAAGAGACGGTGTCCTACATATTATTGTGATCATGGGATGATGTATGAGCATCTTAGAGGATATACTTTGGCAATAGGAGATGTAATTGGCTTTATGAATACGATTTTATCTACCTTTTTGATTTTACCAGAATCTGATAGTCTGAGTCGGGTTAAAAATTAAAATGCTGTATCTGCAGAATTTTTAGTTATCAAAGTTAAATGAGCTCAGGTATTTTTGGAGGATGGTATTCATGATCAAAGACATATTATTTAAAGCCAATTTTAGATATCTTAGACTCCTACACAAGGTTTCAACTGACAATCCAGTTGACAGCTGTAGCTCCAGCTTTTATGCCTCATAAAATCCAAGATTCCTTTCTCAAATTAAATTTTAACCGATAATAATACTTAGCCATCTCTCTTCATGGATGTTGTAGGGTCTCTAATACTACTTTGCCTCAGATATCAGGCTCGTTTATCAGCTCCTTTGATAGAGCCTGTTTTTGCTTATTTCTGATTGTATTCTAATCCGAAGTAAAGGGTTTCTAATTTATGTCATAAATATTTTGCGCCTCCTTGCTCTAAAGTTAGCCATACCCATCTGATGACTTAGTGGAAACTCCTAAAACTATTTACAAGCATCTATGGGTACTTTACAAACAAACCAGAGTTTTAGAGTTTAAAACCTGAATTCGAAAAATCTCTTCTTAATCACTGAACTAGAATGCGGGTATCAATAACTCGTTTATGCATACTTGAAGAGAGGAATTGGAATTATTACTGCCATATCTCAAATGACAAATATAGTTAACTGGGATTATTACCATGAGAATTTAAAGCATGAGTATTTATTTCAACCATTTGGATTATTTATTTCAAAATTCCAATTCCTGTGGACCAAGATCATTCAGCAAAAAGGCTTTGAAACCTACCAGGAAAGATTTAGTTGCATCCTCACGAGGATTGGTCTGTACTTCATGCCTACTTTTGTTGACAAAAGCATCTCGCATAGCTCTGAGTTCGATGAGATCATTCACACTTTCTCTGAACAGCTTGTGAATCTAGGCATCAACTGGGCATCTTTGTTTATATATTTCATCATATTTATGGCTCTTGCTTGTACTAATTGATTCGGTATCATACTCTTTCCAAAAGGATGGAAGGAAACTAAAAAAATATATCCTCAGTTTTCAGAAGGAATGCAATCAAATCAAAGAAATGGAAGTTCCTCAGACTTAAATCAATTGCTAGATGAAGAAAACGAAATGTTACCAGTACTAAATGATTATTTCCAGAGAGATGATAGCAATCCTTTGGTTGGTCCCAACCTAGCTGATATTTCTTAAGAAGGGTCAATATCATTATCTTCTCACTCTTAGTTGCAAACAGATGATTTAGAAAGCTCCTAACTCTGATTCAATAAATGCTATTTGAGTTTCAATTACTCAAGGATCATTGGGGTTTTGGGGTTTTGGGGTTTTGGGGTTTTGGGG